CGGGCCACCGTGCCCCGCCAGTCCTGCCCAGGAGAGGACAGCCAGGTCCTCTGTCCTCATGCCCCGTGCCAGAGCGGCTGCCCTCCCCACAGCAGCCCGCGCTGTCCCGGCATCCTCATGCTGCAGCCCCCCTGCAAAGGCAGCCCGGCTGGCTGACGGGCAGGTCTCCCCGACTTCTTCCAGAGCCCTCGCGCCAGGCACCCACGTGACGAGTTGGTGCCGCGGCCCACTGTCTCTGCCTCTGCAGACCAAGCGCAGTCTGAGGGGCCGACCCCTCACAGCGTCTCCTCTGTGCCGCACAGATCTCCTGGTCTCCTTCAGGGCCTCCTCTACTCACCGCTCGCATGCTGGGGACTTCCTGAGGCTCCGTCCTCGGGCCTCATCGCTCTCCCCATTTCTGAGCTTGCCCTCCACCCTACAGATCAGGACCCTCAGGCCCTGCCTCTGTCACTTGGCTGCCCCCTTCCTGCCTGTCCCTTACCTATGTGACACCAACCCACCAAAAGTCCCAGCCACTCCCCTCTCTGACACCGGCCACCTAACATACAGCAAGTCCCAACAGCTGGCCTAGCTGCATACCGCCCCATCCTCCCACGGCTCCCCAGCTCGGGCCCACCCAGCACTCAGCCAGGGCAGCATGCGCCAAGCCCGGCTCTTCCTATCCAGCAGTTCCGGGACGGGGCCACAGCTGCCAGATGCCACCACATGCCAGCGCCAAGCCCACAACAACACTCCATGATCGCTGTGTCTCCTGCACTACTCCCTGCCCCATGGCTGTCGGGACGAAAGTGAGGATTACCAGGTCAGACTCGTCCCCTTCCTCCTCCTCCGCGGTGTCAGCCGACTCCTGCTCCTCCTCAGACTCGCCATCCATCTGGGCGGCCAAACGAATGTGGGGAACCAAAGAAAAAGCAGATGCTCATTAGATTCTGCAAGGGAGGATGGCCGAACCCACGCTGCACATAGGAGGGACCGCACCTTCTCTCTGGGATGGGCGACTATGTGCCAGCTGTGCAAGCAGACACCCTGCTACTCAGGGCCCTGCTCAGCTGCAGGCCCACACGGACAGGGAAGGCAGCCCCCGGAGTGCGGGGGGAGCCCACACGGACGGGAAGGGGCCATCAGAGTTCGCGGGGGAAGTGGACTGTGCAAGTACAGACCAGTGGCCCAGCACACAGCCCAGAGGGCAGGCGGCAGTCACACTCGGACAACATCGCCTTCTCCCGAGAGATTAGATGAGAAACGGGGAAACGGCTGGAGTTCATCCCACATGGAAACAACACCCTTCTCCCCTCGTGCTCAGCGTGTCTGTCCACACGCCTCGTACACAGTCACGGAGGGTGGATGCACACAACATGGAACTGCACGTGAGCGATCTATTCACCCGGAGTGTGTCTGCCTGAGGGACTGCAGCATTGCGAGCAGCAGTCCTCTGCGTCCAAGGTGGAGAGCACCGCGTGCCCTTCCACAGCTCCACGAGAGCCGCCCCTGGTTTCCCGCACAGGCCACTAAAATGCACGGCTGCATTCCCCGCTGAGCAGGTGCAGTGCAGCGCAACGTCCTACGAAGCTGGGACCCTACGGCTGGCTGAAGCCACACGGGACAGGAGTCCCATGCCAACGCCCCACAACACTGGGACCTTCTCCCGCCTCTACCCATGCACACCTGGGCTCTGCACCTTTGCAACCAGGTCATAGCCACAATGAGTAGGACGCACCTCATCCAGACAGACCCTCGGGGCACACGTTTGGGATCTGAGGAGACTCAGAGGTGACGCCCGCCTTCACTGAGACAGAGCCCATGTCGGCCACGCACAACAAAGGCACTGGGCCCTGCATCCCCCAGAACCTGGGCCACTGCCTCGACAGCGTTCAGTGGAATGTTTACGACCCCTTGTGACCGCTCTCACACCAAACCAACAGGCTGGAGTTCCCCAGGTAGGAGGCCATCACGGCCTCTGTCCACACCACACCTGGCACCCACCTGGCACCCGTGCTGTGTCCCTGGATTGTGCCTGGAGCCGACTTCCAGCCCAGCTCTTGGCACGCACAGTCCCCATGCCCACACTCACAGATCCCCACTCCACACTAGCTCCGAGTCAGCAGATCAGCAACAGGTCCTCACAGGGTTCTGATGAGGACTATTCTCAACTTACAGGTTAAAAACAGAAAAAGCAGCAGCATTTTTACACTTAGTCGGTCTTTCCATGAATTTTAACCTTTTTTAACCTCTTTTAGCAAATTCCTAGTTTTCCTCCTAAGGGTTAACACACAACTTTTGTTAAAATCTCTCCTAGGCAGCCTGGCACTAATAAGAAATTATTGAGGGGACCAGCAGTTGGCATAATGGCTATGTCACTGGACTCCCACGTAGTCGACCGCAGTTCGAGTCCTGGACCTGGTGGCTTAATTCATGCCAGGCGCATGTGTGTGCATGCCCAAGATCCCGAGAGGAGAATGGAGGAGAAGCGATTATGGCGTGGCCATCCCCCCTGGGGGGTGATTTCTCGCTTTCTGTCTCTCTGTCTTACTGGCAAATGTAAGCACCCTATAGCAAAAACCTCTATTTTAAATTTAAAAAAAAAGAAAATAAAATAAATTATTGGGTAGGGCCAGCAGGTGGTGCAATGGTTACATCTCTGGACTGCCACGTGGCCGACCATAGTTTGCATCCTGGACCTGGTGGTTTGAAAATCACACTAGGGGAACCGGCAGGTGGCATGGTATCTCAGGGCGCCGGACTACCACATGGCCGACTGATTCGAGCCCTGGACCTGGCAACTTGTTTTCTCACTTTCTGTCCCTCTGGTCAAGTTATAAATCAATCAATCAATCAATCAATCTACCTGAAAGATAGAAAATAAATCCCGCTGGGCACATGTGTGTGCATGCCCACGAACCCAGGAGGAGAAGACTGCGCCGTGGCCATCCCCCGGGTGACTGCTCAAATCCACTCTCACTGTGTCTCTCTCCGGCAAGAGCAAGCACCCGACGGCAAAAACCTCTTAGAGAAATCAAAGGGTCAGTTATTGCTGCACAGACGGAGCCGGGTCAGGGACAGTCAGGGCTCGAGTCCTGGCCCCAGTGCCTTGAAACAAGCCAAACAAGCCAGGCAGATGTGGGCACCGGGACCCTAACAGGACGGAGACCTGGAGGAAAAGGACCATGGCATGGCCAGGCCTCATGTGGAGGGTGCGGATAAGCAGGGTGCTCCCGCTCCATCTCACAGACATGTGGGCACTTCAAGACAACACAGCTCATTTTTTTGTGATATTGTGGTTTCAGAGTATGTGTGTGTGTATGTATGTATGTGTATATGTATACATATATATGTGTATGTGTATATATGTCTGTGTGTGTGTGTATATATATATATTTTTTTTTTAAGGGGACCAGCAGGTAACATAATGACTAGATCGCTGGACTCCCATGTAGCCAACCACGGTTCAAGTCCCGGACCCAGTGGCTTAAACTCACACTGAGCACGTGTGCATGCATGCCCAAGATCCAAAGAGGAGAATGGAGGAGAAGGGACTGCGGTGTGGCCATCCCCCCTGGGGGTGATTTCTTGCTTTCTGTCTCTACATTTTGAGTGAGCGCAGGCACCCTATAGCAAAAATCTCTCCAAAAAAAGAAAAAGAAAAAAAAATGGTTTTATATAACTTTATTTATTTAAATTTAAACCACAGAGGGACAGACTGGGGGAATGAGAAAGCAAGCAGCCAGGTCTGGGAATCAAACCACAGTCAGCCATGTGGGAGTCCAGCGCCCTTCACCACCATGCCACCTGCTGGGCCCCAAAGTCTTTATCTTTTAAAGATACATACCGGAATATGCACTTCCAGACGACCCAAGTGTGGGCCAGCGCTCGGCCATGGGCTGAAGACTGCACCACTCCCTCTGTGCCCAGGCACGTCCTACCCAGAGAAGCATTTGCACCCAGGGGTCCCGCTGCTGCTGGCGCTGTTCTAACCGGGCCAGCAGCTCAAGAGGGATGGCTACGCGGGCTGTTGGCTCTCACATGAAGCTCAGCTCACCAGCTCCCTCAGCTTGCCACTGGCTTCCAGAAGAAAAGAGCGGGCACTGTTTTCTCAACAAATCGTCATTAAATGCCACCTTCCTTCAGGTCCCTCCATTCTAGGCAGTGCCTCGTGCTCCTGTTAGAGGTGGAACCAGCATCCCTCTCTGTCATCTTACGACTAACGACAGAAATGCTTTCAATTTTCAGTGTTGAACCATTTCTGCAGGGTTCCTGCACTCTTAGCTGTATTTAAAAGTAATTTTTTTTTTTAGAGAGAGGTTTTTGCTATAGGACGTGTGCGCTCGCCAGACAGACAGAGACAGAGAGCAAGAAATCACTCCCAGGGTGGATGGTCCCGCCGCAATCCCTTCTCCTCCATTCTCCTCTCGGGATCTTGGGCACACACGCACACGCACCTGGTGTGAGTTTAAGCCACTGGATCCAAGACTCGAACCGTGGTCGACTACATGGGAGTCCAGCAACATAGCCATTACACTAACTGCTGGTTCCAATTTTCTTTTAACTTAATTGGGTAGTTTCTTAAATTTTAAACAAGACTGAGCAATAGACGTATTGATGAAAGGGAACACTTTCAATAACGAGATCAACCCCGCTTCCTTCCCAACTCCAGCAGACTTGCTGCAAAGGAAGAAGGGTCACCTGAGGAGGGCTTGCTGCCTGCACCTGACAGCTGTTAGAGAAAAGGAGAAAGGAAAACTGCTGGGACCATGCAGTTAACACAAGCTGAGTATGAAAGAACTGCCCCTCAGGCCTAGAGCAAGGACTCGGCTGAGGAGAACTGTTTGCAAGGTCAACAGTTTTACGAGTTCTAGACCTCACCTTCATTGTGTTACTGTATAGGCCTGCACTCAGTTTCTCTGCCATGGGCCTTATTGCCATACCCCTGTATCCCATAAAGGCACCCCCAGCCTTACTATAACTTTTACAATAATCCTGAAAGAATGCAGATCCACTAAGGCGACAGCTGCGTAGGGCGGCGGCTGCGAACAGGAGTTACTCCCATTAGACTCATCCCACCCTCCTGGAAAATGTCAATAAAGAACGCTACATTCACTTCTCCTACTGGGGATTACTAA